ACAATAAAAAAGGGAGTGCCTGGTCTTGCATGACAGTTCATTCTGCAAGACACACATTCAAATTCAGCTTTGCAAGACATTTTCTTTCAAATAAAAATTGGTTTAGTTCAGCGTCTGACATATCACGATGCTATTTTTTTCATTAACAAACATATCTCCGTCTCTCTCTCCTCAATGCAGTGATTACTGCGGGTTTTGTTTTTACTAATTCCCAATTTGGTGAATCCTTTTCCTATTCTATACCATGCTAAATAAGCCGTACTGACTTTTTCTTGATTTTTGTTTCAGAAGACATATTCTATCAGTAGAGCTGATACTACATTTCCATTTCTTCCAAAGCACTAAATGAACTGAACTGTTCAATCTCTTTATCTTTCTTTTTTCTGGAAATTCCTGCAGAGATGTGTAAAAAGATCAGAGGAGCAGGATGAATGCTGCTTTCTAATCTGAGGTAGTTCCCTATAGGGGAGGCTTATTGGGGTAAAACTTTGAGCCTCTGACTTGTCATTCTACTCGCAGTGGCTTCAGTTTTGAATTGTCATGTTTCCTGGAAAAATTCAGACGAGTCTGGGAGTTTTATTTTCTGGTCTGAGAAGCTATCCATGTGGTTCAGGAGCCTAAGAATATTTAGAACAACTTTAAAAGTTCCTAAATTATCTTGTTAAAAAATATTAATTTATTTAATGTTATGAATTTTTGTGTATTATAAAACTATTAGTAATAATGAATAACCAAGAAGATTTGAGATGGATAAATTAATGTGTATGGGGGGAGTTAGGGCAGAACCTAAAAAGCACTAGATGCAGTTTAGCTGCTCCTGACCCGCAGATGTTTGTTTGCGTGTCTAAAATTCATCTATCAATTCAATGTAAATTCATGAGGTTTTCCCCTTCCCACTTGAAAGTTTCCTAGGTGCCTGCTCTTTGGTACTACGTGTGCCCAGAAGTACTTTCTTCTGAAAAATGTGGTTTTAGTTCCTTGCTTATGCCACATTAAATTTGTAGAGGTACCTAAGACCCTCCAGAGATATTAATCTAGTAGTATGCATAGATCTTGAATGTGAATTACCTCATGGAAAAAAATTGAAATAGCTGCTTTCTTTTTAAAAGACATGAGGAAACTGGGAGGGTGATCACCTCTTTGACTCTACTTGACTTGTTAGAGTCAATGCTGAGAAATGGGAGATACAGGTTTGCTACCCTCCTCAGCCTAAGGGATTCAAACCTCAATCCCTTGTGTCTTAAGACAGTGTTTGAACTACTTACCCCTGAGTTTAGTGATATGGGCTACACACTTAAAGATTCCTACTGCACTGCAAGAGTTAATTAACCTTGCCCTCTTTGCTTCATAAACATCCAGTTTTGGCAAGCAGATAGCCTACCACCTAGGAGGCTGTCCTGCATGATGAAAAATACAGGCTTGAAACCCCTCTGCGAAGAGGGAACTGAATCTCCATTGCCCCCTTTCTGGCTGGTTTAGTTGTACTTAGTACTGTGGAAGAGCAGGACAGCAGATTATCTATGTACAGCTTCTAAAAGATGATTCCTCCTCATTTCTCCTAACTCGGGAAAATATTTTCGTTTCTGAATCCCAAGAGAATAGCAGAACTTTACCTGTCCCAGTCAACCCTGAATCCCTAGGGAGATACGGTTTGGGGGCACATCCTTTTGATTTTAGTACTGTGTACTAGATACTGCTGAGTGACTTTCATTTCAGCCTGTGAGATTTTTTAGATTGCCTGAGTATCGTCTGTCTAGCTCTCCACTTTCCAAGGCATCTAATTCTGGATTTTGCATTCTGCTCTGGAGCACAGGCACCAACAACGCAGGAGCTGCAGAGCCTATACAGATCTTTGAGGTATAGAACGTGATTTTTAATGAAGACGCAGGGGAGAGCAGAAAGCAAACATGGTAGTAGGTGGTAGATTTCCAGAAAAACTTTATGATGACTAAAAAGAAATGGGTAACTCATTCTAAGAACAAACTGATAATGCTGCTGAGAAAAAGACATAATGGCCTGTAAGTGCAAACAAAACAAAATAAATAAAGAAATAGTTTAGAACCATTTACTATGTTTAATAAGGAGAGATGAAGGTGCCAGTTTCATAGTAATGATACCACTTTTGTTCCCTTAAATACAGAAGGATGAAGTTTAGATGTTTATGGTGGGAGGTTAGTTTTAATATGTCCTCTGAAGGCTGATACTGTAGACCTAGTGGAATTCCTACGGGATAGCATCAGTATGAATGCAAGAAGAATTGAGCTATGCATTGGTGGAGCTACCAGTGAAACTTTGGTTCCTGCAAGAATAAACTTCCCTTTGAAGTGAGCCTGACAGAGTAGGTGGGAAAACTGTCAATAACTGTTCCTATTTGCTTTCTTGGGGAGGAAAGGGGAGTGGAGGGGGGTGTTCCTCCTAAATGCTTACCTCTGACTTTAATTCTTACTACTCTTGGGAGAGAAGATGACTGTTGAATGTTTGACAGGTTTTCGAGAATTGTTGTGCTTGCTTTTCTCAAGAAAAATAGTTAACCGATTTACATTTCTCAGGTATTACTTGGGAAGCATAATAGTTAACCGATTTACATTTCTCAGGTATTACTTGGGAAGCATAAAAACCAAAGGGATTCCCCAGCCTAATTTTTCTTCTGAACTTTAGGTCACCATTTGAGTCTGGCTCGGATATCAGATGATCTCGGGAATGTACAGCTTTCATCATGCTGATGATTTTTTTCTCACCCCGGTCAGTGAAAAATTTAGTCATTGGCACAGAGCCCCAAGGACAGTTCCAGCTCTCCAGTGACAGAGACGTGGAACTGCCGTCTCTTCACAACCCTCACAACTTCCCTTTAATTATTGTCACAGTTTTCGTAATAATATCTTGCTCGTTCCTTTGAGCTCTACTTGGGATACTTCTGAAATTGCATATTTTCAAGAAAGTGCTTAGCTCCTAACCAATTAGATGAATGTGTATTTCTGCTTTTGTATTCAGATAAATTAGGACGTGAATGACTGCTGGGGCTAGAAATCAGTGAAGATACGTAGTTGTTAAGGAACAGCCAGTGTGGCAGTCCACATTGGAGACTGCGGTAGACGTTTCATACTCTGCAGTAAGGTCGGCTTTGGTGTGGCACTGTGAATGCCCTGACTGGGGTCACTGGGTGTTCCCCAGCAAGTACAGAATGATGGAGTTCATGATGGTACATCTTCCCTTTGAGAGCTCAGCTCTGCTCTGCTGCAGAACCAGGGCCTTCTTGCTCTTCTTGAAGTGGGTTGTTCTCAAAACGTTGGCAGTATGTATGTACAAGTAGATATACATATGCATGTGTAGACATAATTGATAAAAAGATAATCCAGGTATTTTTCAAATAGGATCTGATACCATACATGTCAAAGACCAGCTGGGAGCTATATATTTCAGGGATGATCTAGTGTTTTTCGTGAAACTTGGCCAGTATCTCAAAAAATGAAATGACTCCACTTTCTCCTCAAACGGGTTAAAAAGAAAATATTTTCAGTACAAAGAAAGGAATTTTTATTCCTGGTGTTTTGGGGTTTTTATATTCAGAAAAATGTTAGATGGTGTTCAGTTCTGAATCTGAGACAGCTCCGAGTCTTCTTTTGCTTGCTCAATTTTCAATAAGTAGCCTTTCGTAGCATCCCTGGAGAACTGCTTAGGTCTTAATCTCCAGGCTGTTTCTGCCCATATCTTCATTCAGCCAGTTCATTGGGAAAACTAAGATTTCCAGTGTGAACATTCTATTACCAACGCAAGCTCTGGCTGCTAGATTTTACACAGTGTCAAAAATAAAAAGTAAATGAGAAAGGGACCACAGTTTTAACCCACAGCAGTTCCCTCATGGTGTTCAGTGCCTGGCTGACGGGGCCAGCAGAGGGAAGGGAATTGGTAGGGCAGAAATGAAGGGCTTGGAGGTGGTGGTGAACCCCCTGGTTTTAATACCAGACCAAGATTTCCATTTCATGCCAGTGTGAAGCGATCGTGGAATTATGGGCTCCAGCTCTTAATTTAGCATGGTATGAATCACCTCCTGGAGACACTCACCTCCTTCATGGCCCTCGTGTTTATTTTTCTGCTAACCCCAAACAATACAGGAGCTCTCTGAAATGTCTGGCAACGTCTCTCTGCCATCGTCCTTACAAAACTGGCAGCAACTAGACAGGTGGTGAGCTAGGACTGCCCTGTATTGCATGAGCTTTTTGATCATTTACATCATCTCCCTATGCCCTTTGTAATGGTGTTTTCTGCCTCTAGAATATTTGTACTTATTGAGGGGCATGTAATCTGGGGCAGGCGAGTTTCATGTCCTCCTACGGTGCATACGTCAACAGACAGCGAGAAGCGGGGCAGGATTTCCACAGGCTGTTTGTTGCACAAATTATAATAAACTTGTGTTGTTTTAACACATGATAGCTTGGCAAGTTATTTTCCTTATGACGAAGATTATACGTACAAAATATTTATCAGTTCCTCCGTGATCTCTAGTGTTCTGTTTCTCTGACATTGTAAATGTACTTGTGCAAGCATTATCTTCTGATTTTTGACTAAAGCTGCGTGTGCTACCTTTTCATGTAGCTGGGATACATGTTTCATTTCATGTATTTCAATTCTGTTGTGTTTTTCTTGTTGTATGGCGGTATGGCTTTCCCTTTGTCTTTCCTCATTCAACCTTGCAAAACTGCCATGAAAATTCAGCAACCCAGGCACGAAACGTACTTATCTGTTCTTACATAACTGGTAACAATCAAAGAGATGATAACGCTTTGCTTGCCCACCACAAATTTTCTTCTGAAGGAGTTTTGTATAGCATTTTGTGTGGTCATAAACACATTATTTTTATTGGTACCTTTCAAACAAACTCTGTTTCAAATGACAGATTTGCCAAGTAAAAACTGAGTTAAGCATGGAACAAGAAACTTAGAAATATGAACAAAGAACTCATGACTTTGCCACCATAACCCTTTCTTGCACTTTCTTCCTTTTAGTTGCTGATATGTGTTCAAGATGAGTGGGATGGGAGAAAATACCTCTGACCCATCCAGGGCAGAGTCAAGAAAGCGCAAGGATCCCGATCAGCTTGGACCCAGGTTAGACCATTTATGCCTGAAGACGTTGAAAGTGAAAGACTTAAAAAAAGTCTGTTAGATGTGCTCATATTTTTCAGTTAGAAAATGACAAACTTACCATTCTCGCAAAGAGAAGTCAGTACCAAACTACTCTGATTCAGTAATTCTGTGTTGTTGTGGGTTTGGGATGGGGGATAAGGGGTATTGTCTTTTATTATTGTTTGTTTGTTTGTTTTGAATCCAGCGTAGTACCAAAATACAAAATTTTAGTGACAATATAGGAGCTATGTAAAAATCTTTTTTGGCCAGTCACTGCAAGGAGTCTTCAGTCACTCATCTAGCAATCTAAGATTTTTTACCACCTCTCTTGTACAACATAATCAGGGACTTGAAAAATATTTTTCGATTTTATAGCATTTGCATTACCAACACAAATAAATTTTAAAGCATAACCACTCATTCAGCATTTTTTCTTATGACTGACTGTTGTAATTTCACAAGGAGGCAGGGAGTATGGATTGTTTGGTTTAACTTTTTAAGCTGTTTTATTTTATCATACACTGTCACTATATGATACTCCTTGGATTCTCAATGCCATGTGGAGGGATACTTGTAAATGTTCAAATCCCAGCCCCCTAATTAATCCTCTGTTTTGCATTTCAAATCCCAAACCTCTTTTGAAACAAACACATGACTGCTGGGAAAAAATAAGTAACATCTTTTTTAATGCTCCTTTTCTGCTTGAGAAACCTGTAAGTTATATTTTTTTGTAGTGAGAGAGGACAGTTCTCTCTGTTTTTGTTAAACTACTCTCAAACCATTTGAAATAATCTTTGAGCTGGCCAGAAGGCAAGTAAACTGACATTAAATACAACATTTTTATAAACTCCTCTTTCAGCCCTAAAAGAAGCACTGAGAAACGCAATCGTGAGCAAGAGAATAAATACATAGAAGAACTTGCAGAGCTGATTTTTGCAAATTTTAATGATATTGACAACTTTAACTTTAAACCTGACAAATGTGCAATCCTGAAAGAAACTGTGAAGCAAATTCGTCAGATAAAAGAACAAGGTAAGAAGACTAATGAATTGACTTAGAATATTTTCTGTGTTGATTATTACTTTATTTTTGGCAAACCCGATAGTCTCTTCAGCTTTTCTGCAGCAAATTCCTGTTAGTCAATAATGAAAAATGCTGTAATGTTATGTGAACGGAGTGTGTTAAGTATCATATTCAGTATTTTAAAAATAAGCTTCACAGAAAATCCAGAAATTGCCGAGAGAGAAAATCGGTCAGTTCGATGTGTGCTTCTAATGGAATTGAAATCACTTGTACTTTTACAAAAGTTACAGATGGCTTTGGGGGAAAAATAGAAAGACTACGTATACATACTCTTACATGGATGATGAATCCATGTAAAATAGGAATAATCCAGGAGAGTTGGGTATAAAAGTATTCTGCATCACCCCTTTTGCTTTCTTTTGTTGGTATGAATAGATATTGTGGACTAAATTATCTGCGTCCCTTAAATGATGACATCATATCCTCAACTACAATAGATTTGAAACTATTCTAATCTCTAGTTAGGGTCCTGTTATAAATGTAAACCAGAGAACGTGACAGTTTTCTTCCTGTTCTTTGTCTAGAAGATTAGTTTTGTATTTCTTTTGTTTTGATATATTTCCTATTTAAAGAAAAAAAAATCTTTTAGAAACTTTAAATTTTTGGAAGTGAGTTTTGTGGCACAGGTCTGTGTGGGCAGACATGAATAGCACTGCAGGTGTCTGGGGCAGATTCAGATTCTTAAAGTGGGTGCATATTGTTTTTCTTCTAATTTAGAAGATTGCAATCTCTTTATAAAATTGTTTAGGGCAATTCCTTCGGTTTTCAAACACTTTAATTTATATCTTTCACTTTTTCAGTATTCTGTGATTTCTGTGGGAAAATAATGCTTCCTATTCTGTACCGTATGTGTGAAGTTATAAAAGTGGAGATTATGTGTTGCATAATTTAGATACAGATTTCTTTCTAAAACAAGTAGGTAAGTAGAGCTGTAGTTTCAGACATCAGCCTATTCCAAGCTAAATGGAAAATGGGAAGTGTCAAATTGTGTGTCAGTTGCCTCCGAAGTGGCTGTAATTGATTAACCTTCATGTTCCTATTTCTCAGCTCGTTCTCTTCTTATTGCTACTAGGTTGCCATAATTTTTAAAATGGATATTCTAGTGAGGTTGCCATGCCCCATATTAGAAGTATACCTTTTAACCTGGCACAGTGTCCGTCATTATTTTGCACCTTGCTGGCTTTTGAGATTTAAATTTTTTTCCTTATTTTCTTTTCTTCTTCCTTTTCTCACTTTCAGTTTCAGATTTTTGTTTTGCTGTCACCAAGAGACACATTCTCCTTAGCCTTACCTGAGAAGGGATAAGGAGAAAAAAATTGTGTTTTCCTGGGAAGTGGGTACACAGAGAAAAATCTGTTAGTCCACTTGGTAATTCTCTCAGCAGTTCTAGAACATCTTGTCTGAAAATCTGGCTCTAACTAATGGCAACTTTGGCAAATCCAAGGTTTTGTTGTTCAGGACCAATATCATAAAACCAGTTTTCATATTGTTATAAAGTGTTCACACTCATCAGACCAGGTTACATGTGAATTATTTAAGTCATCATGGGCCAGAATTGTACCAGAGCTGAATGTGCACTTCATTTTCTAAGCTTATAAAGTTTTATTGCAAAACCAGCTGAAAATACAATTCTAAAGACAGACTAAAATGCTATGAATACTTTTTATTTCAACAAGTAGAAGTAGTTTGCAACCCTTGAGCAATAAAGATACTAAATTACTCCTTATGATGTTGATTTGTTGCACAAGGTTCTTCAGCTGAGAACAATTAGACTGTCTGATAACTGTTTGGGTCTTTACATAAAACTCATAGCTGGTACAGACTAGACTTTAAGCTTCTCTGAGGGGCATTGCAAAACACTGAGACCTTCAAGGTGGTAATTAATAGCATCTCAGGATGTAGAAACAAAGATTAGAATATTTGAAATTATTCCTTTAAACTAATTAAGAAGTTTGATACCAATTTCTACATAGAAGCTACATCTCTCTCTTGTTACAGCAAATTTAAAAGGCTTTTCCTTTTAGAAAAAATTCAAATGACAGCATATTCTAAAACGCAACATTGTTTTGGAACAGGCATTTCGTTAACAAATATCACTCACATATAGTAAACATTCAAACTGCACAAACAGCACAGAACACCTATACTTCTGTTGAGTGCCACGAAAACACTGACCTAAGCAAGGCAAACAGATTGAAGACCTAATGAGGCTATTACTGTTGCTGTCTCATGTTTTTTAGGTGGTTTGTCACCTCACATTGGGAATCCTGTGCTTATATATATTCATCATTTAAATGCATTAACTTTTAGGTTGTTTCAAATCTTTCTGATTGCTTTTCCACTGCCAAGACGTGTTAGAAGACCTTTACAATGGTGAAACATGTGCATTATCTTAACAATATCTGTTTCTAAAACAAAGTAATGAAAATAACACTGTACTTGCATAAAATGCCATGAGACTTAGGTTAAAAATCATATTTTCTTGCAGTTAAGATGTTTTTTTGATTTTTAGTGTTACACTAAATACTTGTAGGAGAAAACTAAATGAACGTCCCAAAATTCCTGAGGGATTCCACACTAACATGGACAAATTAAGATGGCTCTGTTTTTGCGCAGTGAGTCTGCTCTGCATTTCTTCAAAGACAGATTAGATTAAATTAGTGAAAACTTATTTTACAGTTCTACTATTTAGAAGTTTTAGTAAAGAGGTTGGATTTTTGAAATAAATACTAAAAATTCTTCACAAATTTTCTTCGTCTATAAATAGAAATGCACATTAAGGTCTAACTATTTACAAAAGCACAGTCAGTTATAATACCTTGTAAAGCCATTGAAAGCAAGAAGTTTTATAGCTGCCACTGAGATTTGACAGGGAGACTTTTTCCTAGGTTCTAGGAATGAAATGAGGAAGGAAGAAATACAGATTGATATTCATGTCCCATGTCAAGCTTGCTGGGCTGGTAGCTGAAAAAAGTAATAGATTTTTTTCTGTAGTAATACTGTATAATTTAGTATAATGTTATCCTGATCTATTTTATATGCAAATATATATTTGCAATACTATATATGTTATCTTTATATCATTTCTCACAGTATATACTTCAAAGGTTCTTTAGTTGTGGTATGTTAGAGATTTGGCTTATTACAATTTGAAAGCAAGTTATAAATATATGCATGTAACTGAATTCATTAGAAGAATTAAAGATATTTGGAAGATGTAACCACTGCATGTAGTTTTAATCTGGGTTTTGAAATGTTTTTAGTACTTGGGAAAATGAAGACAAGTTTCTTTACAAAAGCTTAATTTTCTACTGAGGGCTTTTACCATATTATCTTACAGTGATTGGATAGAGATTTGTGGATGTCCAGAAGAGATGAAAAATTGTGATTTTAGTACGAAGATGAAACAGAAGTTGTATTCATGTAAATCTTAAGTGGATATTTCTACTGGATTTGAGACTTGTGTTTCAAGCACTTGGGAAAAAATTCATTCAGTTTTTTATTTATAGCATACAAGTGATATGAAATGATGGGTTTATGGTTGTGTTACATGGTCATGAAAGTGTAAACTCTCCTGTTACTTGCAGTCTATGTTAAGTTACTTTGAAAGAGTATATATGAGTCATATATGTTGAAGATGTGTTCATAATGTGCACAAATGTGTACAAGCACAGTAAGTTCCGATTTGCATGTGCTTAATTAAAAAAGCTTGTTTTAGGCAAGTGTAAAGACCACTGGGGATAAATGTTCCTTTATATGCCAGACGGCCAAGAAGCTATGAAACCATTTGATTATACTTAAATATATTTAGTGAAATAGTGTCTGATTGATTTTAGGATCCTACCTTATTTTTAAGAAACAATTTCAGCACCTGAGACAGATTCATTTCACTTGTATAAGTACTGCTGAAAGTGTTTTCTCATATCGGAAGACAACAAAATTCTGACAGCAAATAAAAGGAGTCTGGATTCTCTTCTTCCTTAGTTTACAATCAGTTGAACTTTGTCACATCAATCTTGTTTGATTTCATACCTACAGTAGTCCTTTTCCTTGAATCTTGTCATCTGCCTGACTCCTCTCATTATGTTAGTGTTTTTCTTTCTCATTATTGTTTTTGGTTGTTCTGTCCCCCTTTAGCTGATTTTTTTTCCTTCTAGGTATTAAGCAGGATATAAAAATTAAACCTTTGCCCTTAGTTTAAAGCTCTTTTTATCCATCATGCTAACCTCAATCTCAGCAGGTAAATAGCTCACATTTTAAAGCAGAGACTATTTGTTACATTTCACTGCTTGAAAATCTCCTGGTTCAGGCTTTGAAACCTCCTTTTCTTCATTATCTGGTTGTGCTTTTACCCTCTTCTCTGGGTATCAGCAATGCAGTAGGTACAGAGAATACTGAAGATCACTTAAGCTTCTTCAGCAGTTTCTCTAGCTAAGGAGTCTCCTCTGACCCCTTCAGTAGGAGTGCTGAAGAATGTGTCCTGACATCAAGTAAAAGACGTGTTTTTTTTTTTCTCAAGTCCCCCGAGTACTTTTTATTAAACTCCAGGCCTGCATCTCTTATTTTTCTCCTTGTACTCTCCATGCCTTTCTGTTTTCTGTAGCCTTTTTTTAGAATGGCATCCACCTGTCTTATTTAGATAAACATACGGTGGGATATAACCTACTATGCCAAAATATCCTCAAATGCAATTTTATGTCTCAGTTCCATTTTCCTGCAGAGTTCAGCTTTCATGTGTCACCAGTTTCTGAAGAGGTTTTGTGTTCTGTAGATCAGCTTTTCAGTAGTACAGGGAAGGGATATCAGGGTGGTGATTATCAGTCTAGCTGTTAAAGTACACTTCTGGGTTGTCAGATCTTGTTTAAAGAATAGCCTTACAAGACAGACCTTGGACAGAATGAATCACCATGTGAAAGCTAAACAACGTTGGGAGAAGTACTATTTGGTGA